GGTTAATTCGCAGTTTCTGAAACAAATTTTGAAGACAACCACCAACCAACTTTTATGCAGCCAACAACAATAAAAAACTCGTCTTCATCATCGTTACCAATATCTTCATCTATCTATAATACCTGCTCAAAGATGTCTAAACAAACAAAATTATGAGCTAGAAAAAAGCTGCTGATTTTATACAGTTGTCGCTGTTCTTTTGCTGATTGCCATTTTTATCTATTTAAGTTCCTAAAATCTTATTTGTATGTACCTAAACAACAAACCCATCAACAGCACACAGTAATATATCTGCTACCTGTTGCTTATCGTATCACCGGCAACTGCAAAACAACAACTGCAAAATCTATTATCTGCTTATTTTCTATCAACTTAATATCAGTGATAACTTTGAGAGAGTAAAATAAAAAATGCGGCTTAGATCTATTGAAAGAACTGGAAAAGAGGAAGACAGAGATTGGAGAAGAGAAAGAGAGAAGAAATAGCAAAAGACGAGGAGATAGAAAAACGAAAAAAAAGACAGATGCAAGAAAAGCTGTTAATGCAAAAGCATTTTCACGAGCATTGCCAATTCCTAAGCTGTAAACGAGTTTCCCTATTCAACACAGAACAGGATCTTCAACACTTAGTTAGTCACAGAAATAAAAAAATAAAAAAAAATAGAATAAAATAATAACAAAGAGAGAAAAAAGAAAAAAAAAATGAAAAAACAATAGCAGCTACTGAAAAGAAAAATAATTACGCCTATTTAGGAACATCGAACTGATAAATATAAACCAAGAAGAAAGACAGCATTTAGTTATACTTCCTTTTTTATGACCTCTACTTACAAAAAAATAAATAAATAAATAAAAACACAAAATAAAAAAAGTAATAATAATAACTAAAATAGAAAATTTATTTTTCAAAACCTTTCAGTTCTAATTAAGTTCAAATAAAATTATCAAATTTTCTTGCCTTTACTTCAGCACAAATACTTACTGTTTCCGTACCATATACAGCCACCACTATTTTCATTATTTCCCTATCACAGTTTAAAAAATGCCGTAAATGAAGTAAGAAGATGAAGGAAAGATGAAAACAACAACTGCAAAAATTCTATAATGATTTTTTTTTCTGCTTTTTTTGTTAGAATAGCAATAATTGCTTAGCGTTATTAACTTTAGACTTAAAAAAAATTACTTAAAATTCTTCTACATAAAAAAACTGACCAATATAGAGAATTGTTATATTGAACTCCAACAAGAAATATAAGGCTAAAAAAGTGACACAATCTCGACCCGTCAAACACCACATTACACATACATATACACACACACTAACACACACACAAACACCACAGACACACACAGAGACACACACAGAGACACACACAAAAACCACCACCACACACACACACACACACACACACACACACACACACAAACACAGACAAATATAAACACACCAAGTTTTCATCACCTACCGAAAGCCAGCCAACTATTCAACATTAAACTAGAACAACCCAAACAGTTTTACGCCAATTCCAATCCCAGACTGCACCAGTACTTCAACCTGTGTATCAGTGGCTATCAAACAGAAAAAAAAAGACGGAAGACAAAGAAAAAAAAAAAAGAAAAATCAGCAGAATAAATTACAACCAAAATTAAAAGTTCAATATCAGAAAAATGCTTAGTTTCTCAAACTTCCTTCCCAATGTTACCATCATTTTCCAACAGCAACGGTTATCACTCCGTCTTCAACATCCAGAGTAATCGATGTTGCTCAAAAAATAACAGCCATAATGAGAACAAACGCAATAAACAAACAAATAAATAAACTAAAAAATAAGACAACAACAGAAATAATGATGATATAATCAAGGGCGATTGTAACCATTAGACAACTATAAACAACACCCAACTAATACACGTTCAATCGATATGCAGACAGCATAGCGCTATTCCAACTGCACCCAACACACAAAAAGCAGTGTTCGACAACATCAATGTTTAAATACGCTTTTTTGTTTCAGAAAAATTTTCTTTTTTTTTTGTTTTTTTTTTTCTTCTTTTTTTCCTTTCGTCTTCGTCTCCTTTCCCTTCTCCTTCTTCTTCGTCATCTTAAAGCTTACTGACGCTCTTACTGCAAAAACAAACATACACCAGAACAGACAAAAAAAAAACACACACACACACACACACAAACACA